ACCTACAAACTTTTTGGTCTTGTCCAAAAGTGTGGCAAGGCCAATGCAACCATTCTAACGAAATTAGGGGATTGCATTTAAAATAAGTTTTCGTACACTCTGTATGGCTAGAGGGCTAAGCATATTTTACGCGGTTTTGGCACGACTCGTTATGAACGGAAACAAAATTTTAAGTGTCGAAAACAACTGCAAGTTGTAAATCTTCTAATGCACGGCCTACGCAAATCGGCATGTACATTCTTTATCATTAGGATGTGTGTTTACGGCCGCAAGCAATGAGAAGTGAAAACTTCACGCAGACGCGATTCTTATTAACCTTCCACATCCTCAAATCTGAAATTCAAGAATATGAAGAGACCACTAAAAAGCTAAACGCGCCGAAAGAAGTTTGCTGTGGTATGTATGGTTTGTATGATATATTAGCTGTATATGGGCCTCGACAAATACGACTATTATTTTATACGAATATTTCTTGATTTTCCTTGTTTTCTTCATTGTAAGTTTTTGGTCTTGTCTTTGTAGAAAAGCCTTTCTTGTGCGCGGAATATGTCCTTAAAAAGATGTCGTTTTTCTGAATAGCAAAAAACATATAAATGTTGTGCTAATTGTTCGTTTTTTCACTTTAAATATAAACTACTCAAGATCATATCGAACTTTTGAAAGTATTGGTAAGTTATTTTCACAAACTAATAGGTAGGTTAAACTGAAATTTTGGAATGTCATAATAGCTGGACTGTCGAAATAGTTTGTTTGTTGGAATGCTAAAATAGCTGAAATGTCAAAACAGCTGTGTTGTTAAGATATTAGGTTTTGTTTCACGGCCCACTGTGGTTCAAAGGAGTAAAGTTTAAATAAATCGCTTTGAAAAGCAACAGCGTTGTTGACACCAATGTCGTGTTATATTGTAGAAAATACAATTTAAAATTTCTAATTTAAAATAAATATGAATAAAGTTCCATATACAAAAAAAACAGTTTATGTCCCGCAAAAACAAAAGAAACTTTTGTAAAAAAGTTTTGATTTTACCATTTCAGGTTTGTCCTAAAAACAGCACATGACACCTATACTAATTTTTTGATAACACTGTCTGTTACGAAGTTACCCTATAAACGTGTGAAAAATAGTACAAACTGTATATACCTATATAAATAAAACATGCTGAATAAGATATAAATTATTTACTTATATTAGGCAACATTTTAACAATACTTTTGCAATGTTGTTGTGTGATATGTAAATTACACTAAAACGTAAAATTTTAAACATATTGTGACAACATTCAAAATTTTATACATTTTGCATAATTATTTAAACAAAACTTGCTCCTTATGTATCTGCTTATGCTAATGTGCTCCAACTGATCCTCTAAATTGAGTTATGGTTAAGCTGCCCACCATGATCAATCAACATCGAAAATTCCCTGCAAGCCACATGCTATTACTGAACGTTACAATATTTAAACAATTCGTTCATTTTACCGTTTAGTATGGCATAATTTAATTTCCATAGACATCTGTCCATTTAAAAAAATTCGTCATCATTTTTCTCTTAAGCGGTAGATTCGTTAAAGAGATACGAATGTAATGTCAGAACGAGAACATATAAATAAAAAAAATGAATTGTTCTAAATATTTCAGAGCTCGTCGATCACGAAGCATACACCACGCCGAGCATAAAATACTGGTCTAAAAATTTTTGGATTTGAGCGTGCTGCAGAACCATCTCCATACATGAATGACTATCATTAAAATATCATTATTATCATTATGTTCATATAAATAGTACTCTTGAATCAGTATTAGCAAAGGATTGCATTTTATAAAATTMTGTGATGCATGGACAAATTMAAAAATGTGGCGATATTATGTTAAGTGAAATGTAGTGGCTGTACTTTATTATTTAGCATCCACAAAATTTATTAATCTTGTGCACGTATGTTTTTATTTAGATCTGCATTCAAAATATCCCGTGCGACTTACGTACCTCTAGAAATTTTCGTTTGCAACTCAACTGTAGCTTCTTTCAAGCGGTGGATTTAGGATTTTATTACTGAATTCTTTTTCTCAGCATTAATTTTGTTCTGTCCGCAAAATATTCGATATATGGATATAGATTTACTGTTCACTTTTATTAAATTATCAACGATTTGTGAAATATTTGACAGCAAAGTCTCGGCACTTGAAAATTAGCGACTCCAGTCGAATTAGAAAAAGATTGCTGAGCGTTAAATGTTATCATCGACAGCTATTTTTTTAATTTCATGCTATGTGTTAAAAAACCAATTTTATTGTGTATGCAGATAGCAAAAGTGGTGCTACTGCTACTGCTCCATTGAGAGTTTGAGAGATAATACCATAAACCAAACCAGAATCGACCGCAAATGGGCAAACGATCAGTAAAAGCTTTATAACCCTAGGATTGACAGGCATTTTTCAACAACATCCCATATATTGTAACGGAAATGGCCTGGGGTACTCACGTTTGAAATGGAGGGATCAACATTCATGGTATTTCAGTAAATGGGAGCCCCATTCGCGCCCCATTTACGGTCAAATATAACACTGAAAGCATGAAAATATTTTTAGAAAGCACAAAATTTAACAAAAAGCATTTGAAAAAAAAATGAAAACAAGTTGTCATCACTGACAAGCGGGAAATTTCGCACCTGTTCCGGAGATTTCGAAACCCATCTGGGTTATCTGAAGGAATCTATATAAGCAGCGAGGAGAACAACAGGAGAGGAGGGAAGTGACAGACCGGGAGCAGAAGAGGTTGAACCCCGTGAGTCGGAAGAGCGAGTTTTCCGTCGGTTATTGTTATTGTTTGTGAAGTTGCCGGTAATTTTGAAGTTAGTTTGATCTTGTCCCGCATTTAAAGTTATACCGAGGTGAATAAAAGTTGGAAGCTGAAGAGAGTTCGATACTCGGCCATCCACGGTACAATATATTATTTGAGTAATCAATAACGATCCCATGTTGCCACTACCCGACTGCCTAGTTATACCAGTGAAGCCAGGAGAAAACCTTTTTCTAAAAAAAATATTTAGAAATTCATGACATATCATTTTCCACAATTATGTCAATGTTGAAGTCACCAACGATTAAATGGTTTTTACTATTTTTACTGTTATTAAAGTGAGTTTTCAAATTCATTATGAATTCTAGACAAGGCAGGTCACGTGACCTATACACTGCAGATAACTCAAGGTTACTATCATTGTTTAGCCCTATCAGAGTATTCAGAATTCTTAGTCTACCTATTTCTGTGATATTGGTCGATTCACTAACACAGTTCCCTACATACACAACTACACTACATATCTAGTAACACACAGCACATATGTAGTAAGTACGTACACACTACATATGCATGTAACTAATAAAAAATAATAATTGAAATCAATTAAAAATTTTGCATAAGTGGTGGACACACTGTATAACGTAATAAATATTGAGAAGAACATTCCCAATAACGTGAAAAACATGTAAAAAATGATACATTGAAATTGTTGTTTTTTCCGACTTTTCATTCGATGTTCAGTGGCCATGAAGTGCACGAGTCGGCCCATCTTTTTGGTGGTATTCCTAAGGGTCCGGTGGTGTTCAGTTTCTCTTTCTGTTCGGACTTTCCCATCATTTCTTATCCTGTCGACGTGCTCTCTAGGGTGGACCCCCTTCTTCCATCATCCTATCTCATTTCTCCCGTATCCTATGGCTTCAGGTTGTACTCATTTTCTGCTATGAGAATCGCATCATCTGCATACACAATATTTTGAATTCGATTTGCCCCATTCTGTGATCTCGTCCTACACTAGGTTTTTTACCAGGTTGAAGAGTATCTGACTCAGGCTATCTCCTTGCCTGATGCTCACAGATATCTCACTTCCTCTGTGGTTGAGGTGCCTGATTTTATTCTTGTACTGTTGTTGGTATTAAGTTGTTTTATTACCCAGATTATATTGTTGTTGGCTCCTCGTTCCTGCAGGGTTTTTAGTACATCCTTTAGTTGCACTCTATCAAATGCTTGACTTAGCTCAGCACAACAAGGGGTCAGCAGGCTAGTTAAATTCTATGGAGTTCTCGATGATATATGGCAGTATGAATATAGCGTCGATTTTTGATCTAATCTGCCTAAATCCTTGTTCTTTGTTGATGCTGAGCAGCTTCATGACAGTAAATAGGGATTGTAATGTTAGATTTCCATTCTTGGGGCATTTCTCCATTTCGATATTTTGTTCTTCAAGAGTGTTAAAATGAAAAATATTAAACTTACTTATACACATACTGTAACGTTCTTTCAAAAATATTTCCCAAAATACTTCTTCCTGTGTGAAGACGTTACACCCTCAAGTAAAGGAGGAGGTAAAAGAATTGAGAGCGGAGAAATGTTTTCAAATTTATATAGAAGATATAGGAGTAGAGATGCAATTGTTGTATTTAAGATTGTCATATAGTTAAAGTACCAACCGTCAACATACTTCAGCTGCACAATTGCTCTGGTTTTAGTATTGCGGTAGGTTTTTAGTGCTTAACATTGACCATAAGGTGCAAGCCTAATGAAATCACTGAATAATGGGAACAATTTTAATGGCGATAAATTCTCATGATACGTTCGTCTAAATTGACAGTTAATACTTAAAAGGTATGTTTATAATAGGTATGTTAAATAATTGCACTCGACTACGTAGAATAACTATTATTAATGTATTTTAAACTGCGAAACCGCAGCGTAAGCTAATTTATTTACAATAAAATTTAAGCAAAACGTGATATAATGATCGCTGGGTTAGGAAGAGGTCAATTTCGCAATAATAGTACTAAATTCTGTGGAACTTAAAAAATAACAATTTGCCTATGAGGCATCATAAATGAAACAGTTACTAATATTTAAATATGAGATTGGACTAATGTGATAATGCCAATGTTAAATAGGATAAACAGCAATGTTTTTATATAGGTTTCTAAAAGAAATTTTAGAATAAAAAAAAAAGTAATCTGTTTTAATGTTCTAACACAAATACTTATCTATCAAAGTTTTCAATTATCACGTTAGCCAAAAATTTATTGACTTCGTACGAAAAGTATTCTATCCATTTAAAAATTTGTACAAAAAAGACAGTATTATTAACAATAAAACTGTGCGTTCTACAAAGTGAGTTTTCTGAAGTGTTCCAAGCCTGGATCTTAGAAACAGTTTACAAGGTGTCCCCTATACAGGGTGATCGATATCTAGCAAAGTGTAATTAGCAGAAATTTGAAAATTGGGTAGTGTGCCGAGATCATTGGGGGCACGCCGCCCAATATATTTTCAAGATGGCCACACTTCCGGTTATACCGGACGTGCGTATCAACTTGCTTATTTTAAATGGAAAACCCTCTATATTATTACATTTTTTAATTCTACTCCAAATTCTGAATGTTTTTCATTTATAATATCCCAAATAATTAAGTCTAAACGTTTTCGAGATATTTGAAATTTTAGGTCAAAAAGACAGTTGCAGCCACTCGAATAATTATTCATTTCTTCCTATAAGGGAATTTGTCACACTTAATTTGAGTAGCATTTATTGTTGAAAAGGACTTACTTTAAAGGAATTTCGGAAACATTTTCAAAACTATTATTACAAAGTGTTAAAAAAATAAGTTTCAAAATATAGTTGAAAAAACCCCAAGCCCAAAATCAATTTTTTTTAAGGAAACCCCCATTTTTGATAATTTTCCCATATTCAGTATTAAAAATAAGTGTAAGTTTGGGTAACAATGTCTAATCCAAAAGTGTTTAGTTTTCTAAATATTGCCAATTTAATGTTTCCATATGGCTATTTTGCCGCATCTTCTTTTAAATCCCTGTCACTTTTAGTTTCCATGACAAAAATGGCCACAACGAAGATTATTTAAACTTAGTTATTATTTATGGAGAATATGATCAAGTTATGTCAAGAACCGTTTATGTATCTTTAATTATTATTATATCAATCACTGGTATTAAGACGTATTCAAAATTCTCGAAATTTTCTATAATTTGTTTAACTGCATAGCATGAGGTCTTTTGCTTTTGTGGATATCGAATGTCAAATGTGTCACATATTCTTGATACAGCTTTATCAC